TCCAGACTGCTGGACTGTTGGTCACGATAAACCTGTTGGTGCTCTCTGTCCAGCAGATTTGTGCAACTTGAACTTGAGGAAGGCCTACCAATCAGAAGTTGGTGGATTTCGCAATGTCATATAAACTTAACCTTTTGAATGTAACTCGATATTTTCATGTTTCATACACTCTATGACTAGAAGACGCTTTCTTTTTGAGGCTTGTGATCTTATATAAGGCATCATGTTTCTATTAAGACGATTTCGAGCTTTTCCAGTTAGAGGGTTTACTTGTTGTCTGAAATAATTAATGGGTAAATAAATGTCGTTAAATTTATTACAATAATATGTTATGATAACATTTTTCATGTTTAAAGTGTTTCATGTATCCATCAACATTATTGGTTAAAGTTCATTAACAATTAAAATACCTTGCTGTAGGCAGTCGGTGCGACAAATAGTCTGTTTGTTCTAGAAAGAGTCACGTAAATTTAAAAATACTTCACAGAAATTATATATATATATATATATATATATATATATATATATATATATATATATATATATATGTATATATATATATATATATATATATATATATATATATATATATATATATATATATATATATATATATTGTAACGTTAACCTATCTATCAGCCAAATAGAAGGAGAACGTCCCCGGATTCTTTTTTCGGGGTCATATGCAAATGCCTTACGGCCTAAGTGGATGAACACTTAACACAACGACCACTAGGGCTCGAATTTAATGTCTAGGGAAGCTAGTGATACAATTGTAATTAACACTCATCCAATCTACATACGACCTTTTAATCAGCGAACACAGTTGTGGCAGAACACAAAGATGAACTAGATAAAATATTTAATGTATAAAATATCAAAATCCCAACTTACAAAATGCAGGAAAAAACACTATCACAGATTTCTACACTGTCTAAAGAAACAGCCACAGGCCACACAACACTGCTGTAGTTTCTAGAATTACTTAGCGACAAGTAATATTAAACCAGAAGACTAAATCAACTGAAGAAAGCAAGGCACACACAGGTCTTAATTACTCTCACGTTCAAATGGTCAGAGTCTATAGCCGGACAATATGGACGGCTGCCTGATCAAGGTAAAACTACCTCGTAGACTGCCAGGTCAAGATAAACTGCCTCGTGTTGCGAGTGTGCAGTGCAATTAAAGACTTCTGTGACAGGGGAGGTTATCCTCAACTCATGTCGCCATTGGTTGGGATAATCATCTGATCAGAATCATTCAATCAGATTTTAATGGAAAATTTCTATGTCTCAAACACCTTAATAAGTCAGTGGAAAAACCCCAGGTGTTACACCATCATTCCATATAAGGAATTATACAATGTCAAAATAAAAATGACTCGACCTAAGTAGGTCACAATATATATATATATATATATATATATATATATTCTGTACTTAATATACTATCATTTTTTCGAGTAATCGATAATCGACCATTCTTACAGCTGACATTTGGGTATTTTTAACGTTAGGGAAATCATTCATACGTTCATACTATTTTGCTTCTCTAAGGCACACTTGCGGAATCCAAAAAATATACATCTTCAATCCCAATAGCAAATAGCTAAATAATTCAATAATCCTTGTCTAAGTGGCAATACTATGTTACATTTATATCTATTTATAAATCCAAACTTATTGTATTTCACCTACCAGAGATGTTGTCAACTTGAAAATCATGAATATTTGGATGTGTGGTTATTTCTTCTTGAATATTATTCTCTAAAACTGAACTTGAATGTGTCTGTACATTTTTCTGCCCATGGTATAATGATGTAGTTTGTTCGGACATTTGATGAGACAGGGAATGTACGGGACTGGTGCTGTAATATGGTGTAAGGGGTGGTAACTCCGAAATGTAATTTGCGTCAATAGTGGAGAAGTGTGTGTCCGGATTATCTTCATAAAAAAAATACAAATGCATCTTCAATTTAATATAATTTTTAACATGTCAATAAACATAATGTAAGTATATCGTGATATAATTTTAATAATCGATTCAAATTCACGGTATTTAAAAGCTAGTTCTCTTAATTAAAGTTTTTTTTAAAAAAAAACATACCCTCTCTGTAAATGTGTTGTTCAGTACTATCATTTCCATGTTCGGTTGCCTCCATGTCGTCCTCTTCTACAATGATTTCATTATCGTTATGAACTGCTATCATCAATATTATGTTAATCACAAGCACACACATACATTTGCCGTTAATATATACACAATATAACTGCATAAAATTGTCAATAGTTTTTGTACTTGCCTTCTATTTCCAATGCATTTACTTCAGCATTTTCCTGATGTTCGGTGACATCTATGTAATCCTCTTCATTGTGTTCGTTCTGTGCAATATCCGTATCTCCATTATCATGCTCTACTGATGTCTTTTCTTTATTATGTTGATATATTGGCATGACTTCCTTAAATTCCCCCTGACATATATCACACATAAGTTTCACTATTGACTTGTCAATGTTGGTCTCACCACTGACTGTAGATGCGTCTTGTTGTGTCAGCTGTTTTTTAACCTGACTTTTAAGCCTTCGGTATTGTTCTATAATACCTTTTGTTTTGAGATTTGTAAATGTTGGATGCTTACTTTTAAATTGTGTTGCGATGTTTTCCCAGGCTTCTTGTCTCCGAGCTCTAGTCGTTTTATCACGTTTCTTGGATTCTATGATGTCTCTGTGTTCACTTACCATCACAAGAAGGTCAGATTTTTCTTCTATCGACCAGTTAACAGTACGTCTTGAGTTTGTGCTGCATTCTTCAGAACTTGATGATGTACTTTCAACTGCCTGCTGTTCGTGTATTTTTCTTCCTTTTCTTTTGTCATATTTATTTAATGTAATGGTGTCTTTTTGTATAGAGTCTTTGACAAGACTGTCAGCTTTATCCCTATGTATAGATTTGACTGAACGTTCATCGATTGATATGCAGTCTCCAAAACTAGATGGTCCATTTTCAGCTGTCGGTTCTTCGTTTATTTTTTCTGATGATTGTAGTTTGAGTGAAATATTTTTTTTCAAATATTAAAATTGCTAGCTTTAAATTGTCAAGCCTTATATATATATATATATATACATACATATATACAGGTTAGTAAAGGCTTTTTGCTGATTCCTATAGGGAAACTACACATAGTTCAAGGACGGAAAGATAAAAACAAGCTAAAGGGAAAGTGAGACGAACAATAATAATTACATAATAAGATAATTAAACTCCCAATGCATTAATAAGTTATTTTATAGTTCACATAGAGTTCTATTGGAGATTTTTTAAAGATATTTTTTCTCACAGTTTCAAAAATATATCGACACTTTTGTGAGTAATAAAGGTTATACAACATTGCGGTAATTGACTGTATGAGCTAACACCACACATTTCTGAATTTCAATAAATCCCAGTCTGAAACAAAAGAGGGGCAGTGCCATATACAGCGTGTACACTATAATTTTTATTGAAAATACTGTACGGCTTAGATAGTTAAACAATGAATACAATCTACAAAACATAGACAGACACTAATTTACACAACAAAAAAAGGAGCAAAAATATACAATTTGCAAATAGACATTTTGCTTTAAGTAAATAAATAATTTTGTAGAAATATATATTTTTATTAATATAAAATATATATAATATAATTATTTCGGTTTGGCAGTCAGTCGAGAGCTATAACTTTTGACCACTTCGTATCCCAAATTATTATGTAGCTGTAACAACCGCTTGAAAAGTATGATCAAATATATAAATTTAAGTCGCTACATGTTTCTCTAACACGTAAATGATTGTGATGTCTTAAGCCACACAAAACATTAGAAGGAAATAGTTAGTTCCCTCAAACTCTTAGAAAACCGTTTGGTTATATAAATTGCATCCTTTGTCATATATACATATATAACCACCATGATAACAACACTGAGCAAAAGAGCAAGCAAATTGTACACACGCACTACAAATTAAGCATTGACTATCTCCGCTAAAGGTTTTTATTGCACCTAAACCAGTACTAATGCTATTGTGAGTTCTCTAAAGAACTGTATATGTTATGTGATTGCTTTGCTTGACTTTTATCTTTCATTTCTATCACTCAGTCTTTATATTCATTTGCGTAAGTGTGATTTGTTTAGCGAAATATAGGCCTACACATTTATCATGTCAAAAGAAATTAATACTAATAGTTTCGCTGTCTGTCTATCTATGTATCTATCTGACAAGAACGCTCTAGAGAAAACACAAGCAAAATAAAAACATGCATAGTAATTCGAAAAACGAAGTACGACGTCGTCACATTTAGCACAGAGTAGAAAATAATCTCAAGCCGGAGAGTGCACACAGTAATATGACGTCATTGATTCTCGAGTATACATTGAATAAAAATGAAAATTGTGTCTAATCTAAGTGGTTTGCGTGAAGAGTGTCTTTCATACAATTCTTTGGGTAGGGGCTAAGCCCCACCCTCGCGTAAGAACGTCTGAGCCCACCCCCCCTCCCCAAATCAAAAGAAATTTCCTCATCGATACTCTATAATAAAATTACCGCCTAATTAATGTGTCTAATCTAAAAAGTGGTTTTCTCGCAATTTCTTTAATGCAATTCTTCGGGTAGTGGCTAAGCGCGACACCAGTGTTTTTTTCAGACTTTTTCCTCCCCGGAGAGGAGTGGGAGTACTTGAAATTTTCGGGGGCGGGGGTAGAATTTTCGGGGAGGGGGCGGACACTGGAAAAAGTATATTATTATATTTCGTTGAATGGGACGGTAGACATGTTTTTGGGGGGTGGGGGTGGGGGGGGGGGGGTGGGGGGGGTGTTGTGTGTGGAGGGGGGGGTGGGGGTGGGGGGTGTGTGGGGGGGTGGGGTGGTTTTAGTTTAGAGAAAAGAGACAGCACTATCAGCCTAGCGCCCGTTGTATCCTTCCTCAACGGGCCATTTTTCTCGTAATACAATATTTTTCTAATGAAAATGTTGTTTGCCTTTCATACGGCAAAGCATACGTGCACTGATGAATGGCTTAACTAACACAGTTGACCAAACAACTGCATGAAATCAAACAGTTTTATGATTAAATAAGTCAATCGACTGCAACTCCTGGCTACTGTATACAGTTTTTTTGTCCAACTTACCAGGCTAATATTGTGGTCATTCACACAAAATAAAGTCAGGTCCATCAGATAAGATTTAATCTTTTCAACTCTATCATAAACACAAGCTTCTTTTAATTTCTTTATTAGGAACTGTATTTCTTCTGAGGATAAAATATATCTTATAGATAATGTTACTATAGTGAAACAACAATATATGGATAACGTCTACTACATGAATGAAAAGAAAACTACTGACAATAAACATAAAACAATTGAAAAATTATACAATTACATTTTATTAAACTTGAAAACGCGAGATTTGATGACTTACGTTAGGTCACCTACATTAAATGAACAACGTAGAAATTATTTTAAAATACTATACGATTTTTTACCTGTAGTAAATGTGACACTTTCTTTAACGTCTGACACGAGCAGTTTTATTTTCTTTCTTGAAATCCCATCATTAGTGTGGTGAGTTAGAGGAAAATATTCTATGGCCTGCAAAAAAAAAATAATCTTAATTTTCTTATTTAATGACCTAAAATATTGTTCTCTTATTATTCGTTTAAAAAATACCTACCTGTAAAACGGTTTCTCTGTCATTAGTGTCCAAATGCATTGATATATTTGCAAAAATACTCAAACATATTTTTACAAAGTGATTTTTTAAATTAATCTGTAAAAGAATAAAATCTTAACGTGTAAAGTCAGTTCGTTGTTTTTTTTAATTTTCTATTGTTGTAAAATTATAATTATAACGTGCCACATAGCAAAAAACCTGAGAGGTATACACAATGGGAATTAAGGAAAAACAGAGTTCCAAATCTACTATTTGTAAATGAATTGTATTGCTAACTTTACAATGTTAAGAATAAAAGTTAAAACACAGATCAAATAATGGCTTATTGCAGTGTTTGAACGCACCATGCTCTAATCATATCAAAATGTATTAAAAACCGCCAAGCGAAATAAATAAAACTATTGTTACATAATATGTACAATCAACAGTTTTCTATTAAATAGTAATTAGGTAATCATATAATGTGGACGCTTTGTTCAATAACACATTCCTTTAAAACGAAGACATATTTCAATCCACTGATTACCTTGGTGAGCAGTCTCTCTCCTCTCTCTGTATATATATATATATATATATATATATATATATATATATATATATATATATATACGTATATAATTTAAACATGTCGTACCTCGTAGTTTAGAAACTCGTTGATAGCAGGGATAATGTAATTTACATTTCCTTTTCTTGCAACACACTGTTTTACATTCAATATGACAATTAGTTATTAAAGTTCAGTATTGTTATGTATGTAAAAAAAAACACATGCTTTGTAAAGTAAATACAAAATGTAACTACCTCTCTAAACGCCTGACTTGATTTTATGTACAATTCTGCGATGTGTAAAATCGTCATTAAAATAAAACATCTTGATATGGCATCCATTGTCTTGGCTTTAATGCAGATATCTATGCAAGTATCTGTATTATAAAATTCGAGCAATTAAATAACAATTGTTTATTTGCATTTATTTTTTATTAAAATTAAGCTAAGATAATTCATTATATGGACTTTTTAAAACACAAACCTTCAATAAGGTAATTTTATTTAACGAGTATCATTAGAAGCCAAATTAGAAATTAGAAATGTAAAACTTTAAAATGTTTTGTTATCTTACTTCACAACATATATTAGTAAACATATTGTCGTTTGATGCAATTCCATGATAGCTTAAAATATAATAAATCAATTCTAGGACCAATAATCAAAGTCGCAATCAAACCTGCATAAAACGAAATTTTATCCTCCAACTTTCCATGTCTTACAACATCCAAAAATAACATCCTGATCAGACGAGATACAAAAAGACAGCCGTCCTTAAAGTGTTCTCTTGTTCTATTTAGGACATCAAGGATGATTCCAGCTCCTGGCTAATTAGTAAGTATATACTTTTTTTATGTGTACATAATTATATGTCTGATTAGTCTAGATTATGTACTTTTTAAACTAAAATTATGGATTATGAATTTTCATTTTTTTAAATTTTGTACCTCGTAAATCTTGTTTAGCAAATCTTGAAAATTAATAATCCTGTAATATTAAATAATTTTTTTTTTAAATATCAGATATTCACATTTCTTTTAAAATGCACTATGTCTAAATAGCGTATGTTCTTTTTTTAATTTGAGAAAACTGCTCAGCTTAATTATTCAAAACTTAAAATTTTAACTAGAAAAGTATAAGAAAATTGGTTTAAATATATACATGTATCTTTTTTAATACGGATGTTCTTGACAAAAAATACATTAATCTTACCTTAAGTTGCATTCTTGAATATCATCCTGACTTTTGTGTCTAGTAAATTCATTTAGACCTGTATGTTCGTAAATTATGTACATATTATAACATTTTGCCTTTAAAACAATTTTCAAAGTATATTATGTATAACTAAAATACAATACATTATTTCGTATTATGCCGAGCACAGAATAAAGAATAATAGCTAGAACTAAAATGAGCTTATGTGGGTAAGGGTGTAATGGTAAGGGGATAATGATCAGCGTGTAATTCACAATATCTTAGTCCTGTTTTAGAGCATTTTATCCTCTTCAGATGTGTATGTAGTACAACAAAACCCGTTATGTAATTATTGGCATATGTTAACTGTTAATTTGTGTGAGTTAAGTTTCTGAGGTTAGTTTTCAGATCTTTTTTCTTTTCAAATGCTTAGCACTTGTCAAGTAGCTTTTGCCGTTGTACAGATTAGGCGATAAGTTTAATTTAAATATTTTGCAGGTATTAGTTGTGTCGTAATTAATAACTATTGGTCATTATTTTATAACGTAGAAAAATGTTTGCAATGACATACAAATAATCCTCACAGAATAATGGGCAAAATGAACTTGTAAAGTTGAAAACAAACTTGAGATAAAGGGTCATCCATTTTTGACGTCTACAGAAACTTTAAATTATATAGCCCACTCATATACACATCCTACCTTACATATGCTACTACTTTGGACTAAACCCTCCCTTGATGTGAACGCCCACAAACATTTTGTAGACCTCTTAAAATTACTATTCATTTACAATGGGAATAACTTGCATTTTTACAGAAAATCGAACATTTTTGGAAGCGTTTAGTAGTATGTAGAATGTTTTTAAAATCTGAGTATATATGTATAATTAGGTTTATGAATATTTCATTTAAAGTCCAAAAATAATGCAAGTTATTCATCCTTTAATTTGTATGTGGAAAAAATGTTTTAAAATTATTATTCTCTGTACTTGAAGGATATCCTTTTTTAAATATTTAATATAAACTTCATCTTATGTTGCTAAAAATGTTTGTGAGTATTGCAATAAAAATCAGAGTTCGAATCACGAGGTAGATGTTGCGCGATAGTTTGGGACAATAGCCCAAAAGAAAAAGCAGACTGATCATATCAGGCATTTCATATGAATACGCAATACTTAATTAATTACCTACAACAAAGAAGAAATGTTATATTTTATTCGGAAAATAAAACTACTCACCAGAAGTGTAAATGTGACGTGTCGATTTTTCACCTCTGTTGGTTGCTAAAGCTGACTGTTGATCCAACTTATTGAGAAACGCTGTCCATAATTCTATGTCACGAGTTCCGTTCTCTGGACAGTTTGACTTCTGATGTAACTTGTGTAAACCAGAAAAAACTGACACAAATTCTAAAACATCGTTAATATTAACCTTTGCTTTGTTTTCTACCAAAGTCTGCACTACACTGTAATGTCCATTCTTTAATGCCAAGTCATAAGATGTTTGACCTATTGTGTTGACCCTATTGATGTCGTCTGTCTTGTTTATTAAAATCTGGACCACATAGTTCAACCCGTATTTAGAAGCCAGCATTAGAGCTGTGTTGCCTTTGTTATCTGTAGTGTTGACGTCATCAGTTTTCTCAATCACGAGATGTATTATTTTATTAAGCCGTTTAAATTGTTTTTGTTTATAATTAGAATTAGAGTATTGGGCTTCAGTATTTATCAAACCTAATTGTATAATGGCTACCATAAGCGGAGACCTGCCATCTCTGTCTACGACTTGTGTTTGTGCATTATGGTCGAGCAAATACTTGACGATAGGAAAAATGTATTCATCGATTCTACGTTTTAAAATTTTTATGAGGACAGTTTCGTGTTTATAATCATAGCTGTCAACATTAGTACCGTGAGTCAATAAAAATTCGACGATACTAAAAGTATTCTTGATAGGGGCATCAAGTGCGCAGTGTATGAGTGCTGTTCTCTGTTTCTTATCAACCCGATTAACCTTTGACCCCTTACTGACCAAATATTTCACCGTGTTAACTAAACCAGCTTGTGCCGCCATCATGAGTAGAGTTCTACCTTTAGGACACACAACATCATCTTCTTTATAACGTTCACAGACTTGTTTTATAAACGTGTAGTTTCTGTTTTCAAAAGCTATCATCAAAGCTGTTTTGTTGTATTTGTTTACTGCGTTTATATCCTGTTTTATTTTAAGAAGGATTTTTTCATTGTATCTGAAATTGCTAAATCGCTCTTGTCTTGCATACAACATTAGTAATGTGTTACTATATTTATCGACAAGATCAAAATATGTTTCGTTTTTTGCCTTAGACAAAATGCTTTTGCTCATTTTGGGGAAGTCTGATGTAAAGTTCATACAAAGATTGATTCCAGATGCAGTTAGGTTACAATATTTATAATATATTTTTCGTGTTATTGTTGTTATCAGTATATTCTTTACTGCAGCATCAATCTGTGAAACACTAACCCCGCTACCTAACAAATATTCCATGACTTTTAAGTCACCACATTTAGTAGCCCACATTAAAGCCGTTCTTCCTTTATTGTCTGTTTGATCTAAAGCTGACTTGTGACTACTGACCTGGTGTGTGTTTTGATCTGATGGTTCAGTCTCTAGTAATATTTCGGTAATATCACGACTATCACATATTGCTTTAGCAGCCCACATTAACGCCGTCCGACCTTGTTTGTCTTGGATGTAAATGTCAGCTTTATGCTCTAACAGGATCTTGACATGATCTTCTCTATTTTCTTTAACAGCTTTTATCAGCGCTGTTTCCCCTTTATTATCAACAACGTTAACATCAGTCATGTGATGTTCCAGTAATAGCCGCACATGTTTATTATGCCATGTTTCTACAGCATACATTAACGCCGTCTTCCCTTTATTATCAACAACGTTTACATCAACCTTGTGATGTTCCAGCAATTGCCGCACTATATCTTTATTACGCCATTGTTCTACTACAGCATACATTAACGCCGTCTTCCCTTCATTATCAACAACGTTTACATCAACCTTGTGATGTTCCAGCAATTGCCGCACTACATGTTTATTACGCCATTCTCCTACTACAGCATACACTAACGCCGTCTTCCCTTTATTATCAACAACATTTACATCAGCCTTGTGTTGTTCCAGCAATTGCAGCACTATATGTGAATTATAGCTTGTTTCTACAGCATACATTAACGCCGTCTTCCCTTCACTATCCCCCATGTCAATGTCCCTATAAATTCCTGCTGGTATAAATCCCTTCTGTACTGGCAACATGAGCACCGAGGTTTTCTTGTTGTTGACATGGTTGACTTTAGCGCCGTGACGAAGTAGCTCTTGTACTAAAGCTTTTGATTTAAATATGTCTGTTTTAAATACCCACATTAAAGCTGAATTCCCTTCTTTGTCTATATAATTAATGCTATCATTACTATTTGCAAGAAGTAGTTTAATACTCTTCAATGATTTCATCGGCGCTTTTTTCTTATCAGAGAGAGATGTTGATATTAGAATTTCCATCAGTGCATTCCTTCCATCACAGTTTATCACGTTGACATCTGCTTCATATTTTAACAAAACCTCAACAACCTCTAGTTTACCAGCCAGAATTAGAGCTGTGTTACCATGGTAATCTGTTTTGTTGACATCAAACCCTTTAAAAATCAGCGACTTCACCACTTTAACATGTCCACCAATAGCTGCTAACATGAGAGCGTTTTGTCCTTTAAAGTTAACATCCACAGTACCGTCATACAGTAAATCTACAATGTCCAGGTGGCCATTTATGGCCGCTAACATAAAAGCTGTGTTTCCATAAACGTCGAACTTAGAGGGATCACTATATTCTTTTATGTCAATTAACATTTTATTATTACCTTTCATAGCAGCTAACATAAAAATTGTCCGCCCTAATTTATTTGTTACAGTTGCACTTGATACTAAATTCAACACACATGTGCCCAAATTATTTGGTGTTTGACGATTATTTTCTAGTAAAATGTCAACTGTTTCTATGTGTTCAGCGTTTAATGCTAAGATTAACGCATTATTCCCTTCTGTATTAACCCAGTTAACATCAGCTCCTTTCTGAAATAATAGTTTTACAATTTCAGAGGGACATCCCCTTGCTGAATATAAAAGTGCGGTTTCTGCAGTTCTATCAACGTGATGGTTGACATCGGCGCCTTGCTCTATTAAAACCTTTACAATATGAAATTGTCTTTTAATAATAGACCTACATAGCGCAGTTTCTCCATTATCATTTTTAAAATTCTTATCGGCTCCAGCGTCGATTAGGGCTTTTGTAATTTCGAAAAATCCTTTGTTACAAGCTTGAAATAGAGGGGAGGATCTCCTTTGTTTTTTCTCGATGTTACGGTTTTTGAAGCTAATGCTACAATATTGTGGCGAAACTCTGTAGTTACTTTCTAAATTTACGTTTGCTCCAGCTTTTAACAAACAGTTAACAATGTCAATATTTCCGTTCATAACAGATATATATAACGGCGTGTCTCCATAACTATCTTGTATATTCACATTAGCTTTAGCGTCAACCAAAAGATTAACAATTTCTAAACATTCGTTCACACAGGCTTTATATAGAGGTGTGCATGTCCAGCCGTAATTAACATCTGCATCATGGTCTACCAGCAACTTTACCATATCAACATGCAAGTTTACATCAGCATTGTGTGTCACCAAAAATTTATCTATGCAACCGTTTCCCTTCCTTACAGATTCATGTAGGGCGGAACAATTGTAGTTGTCTATTAAATTCACATCAGCCTTGTATTCCAGCAGTAATTTAATTACGTTCAGATGTCTATGTTCTGCACCTTTCATTAAAGCTGTCTTTTGATATTTGCTTCTACTATTCACATCGAATCCCTTCTTAAGTAATGCTCTAACAAAAGCCTCGTTTTCTAACCCTGCTGCTAATACCAATAAGCTACCTTTTTTAAGTAGCAGGTCAGTATTTTTGATATTCCCAAGTGCATTTATGAAATCAGAGAAACAATTTGTTTTTATAGCTGCTCTTATTCGATTTATATTTTTCTTGTCAGATGTCTCCATATTTGCAATAGTTTCCTAAATTGAAAGTTAAATTATAAAACTTTTAAAATAAATTATGTTTCAATCAGTAAATAATTGATGAAAAATAATTCTAACTAGCCTGAATATTCACAATGTAATCAAAGTAATAACTGCTGGCTCTAAGCCAACACATCAGTTACTATCGGAATAATTTATTGATGACAAAACAAAGGATTAGCAATACATATTTAGCTAACCAATGCTTTAAACTAATTTAACAACGGGCATATCAATGTTCGATTTTAAAACAGTTTGGTTTTTTTTAATTCCTAAAAGCAGAGTATTGGAGGTTATTGTAATTGTGCAAATAATATCGAAATCGATATTGACTTATATTGTTTAACTCCCATTCAAATTTCCGTTAGATGAACCGACTGGTAAAAGAGCATTATGTTATTTAAACTCTTTTTTCTTACTAAATAAAAATCATAAGGTTAGTTGCAGTCTTTCGTATATAGTCTCTTCTTGATTTAATTTTTAGAACTCGTTATTATATCACTTGTTAGAATTTACCTTGATAGCAAGAGTATTATAATACATTGGTTTGAATCGTAAAATAATTACCTTAAGTAGTCACTTTACTTATGGGAATGGTGAGTACGTTTATTACCTTTAACGAAATAATTTAATAAATATAAAATAAAAACAATAATAATATAAAAACTAGAATAGTGTTCTCATTTTAAAATTTGTGTAAGATTCTAAGGCTTTGCCGCGGGAATTGAAGAAAGTCCGACGAAATATATACGAGTTTCATCCATGCGTTACCAATCCTATATTCTTAGACTCGTGACCTTGTTTTTCTTAAAGTGAGTTATGTAAATGTAAATAATGCCTGTGCTTGGATCAAAAATATCAGGACACAGGTTTACCTACACTACAGCATGAAAACCTTGAGTGTACATTAATAACTCATCAAAATAACGAGGTAGAACACACTACGGTGACCACCTATGTGTCAGGGACGTAGAGTGGCGCTCTCAGAAGCCCCCGCCCCCCACCCGATTACACTACTGCGTACGGCCCCTGGCTACTCACAACTAACAGGCGCTATCGTGCCAAATAACATCCTGTTAACACAGATGCAGATTGCATCATTCGCTAAAGTGACACAAATGAACAGGATTTGTTCTTTAACACGTAAAAAAATTATTAACGTGTTTTAAACATCAGTGTGGCTGATGAAATATGTTAGTTTTACTAATGGTCTATTATTAGATGCTCGATCTGAATTTCTGATTGGATTGTCTAAAAATAGATGCTAATTGCATCATTCGAAAAGTTATGAAACTGTTTGGATTTTTTTACGGACAAAAAGAAACATCCCATTTAATAATCTAACCTTGGTTAATTTTTCTGATTATTAAAATAAAACGTATTACATGGCCCTCAGCGACCTATGTGAGCCTTTGGAGGCTGAAACTGAAATTTTTGTTAGCAGCCAAATCGCACCCAACCAGGGCGCCGGAGGCCACGCCTGATTCAATTCAGTGAGCATTTTTAACGCCCCATCCTATTCATTGTGTATCTCAATGTTTAGACCGAACATAGTCGCCATAGCACTCATCGGAAAGACCAAGCGCCAAATGGCATCCTGCCGGTGGGCCGCCCATGCAAAATCAAATCCCACCTCCTCCTACCCCCCACACCACAAAAACCTTCTCGGGTGTATTCATCAACTCCCCAAAGTCTCATGCCTATCGGTTTATATATATACCGTATATTGACAAAAATCGCACTATCCCGTGGCGCCGCCCTTGAGAAATAAAAAAAAAAAGATTTTTTTCACAGGAACCTCACCACCAACTCCCAAAATTTGATGGCGATCGGATGAACGATGTCACACCACTGCCGGCTTATTTTTTTTTATATACCGCCACCCCTACGAATTTGATTTTTTTTCGCAGAACCATCCCCAGAAATATTCTTAGCAACTTTCCAAAGTCTCATGGCTATCGGATGAATGGTGTTAAACCAAAATCGACTTTTATTTTTATATACTGTACATTGAGAAAAATAGCACCCTTCCGTGGCGCCGCCCTTAAGAAATTAAAAATGATTTTTTTTTACAGTACCCTTCCGGGTAGTATTCTAATCAACTCCCCAAAGTATCATGCCTATCGGTTGAACGGAGTCAAAAGAAAATCGACTTTTATTTTTATATACCGTAAATATAGAAAAATCGCACCATCCCGTGGCGCCGCCCTTGCGAAATTAAAAATTATTATTATTTTTTACACAACGCTTCCCCAGAGTATTCTAATCAACTCCCCAAGGTCTCATGCCTATCGGTGGAACGGTGTCAAACCAAAATCGACTTTTATTTTTATATACCGTACATAGAGAAAAATCGTACCCTCCCATGGCACCGCCCTTGCGAAATTAAAAATGATTATCTCGTAGAACCCTTCCCTGCAGTGTTGTAGTCAACTCCCCAAACTTTGATGGCGATTGGATGAAGGGTGAGAAACCTCAATCGACATATATTTTTATATACCGTATAAAGAGAAAAAACAATTCGCGCCCTACCGGGGCTCCACCCCTGCGAATTTGAAATATTTTTTTTCCGCAGAAAATTCCCCAGGAATATTCTCAACAACTTCCCAAAGTTTCACGGCGATGTGATAAGAGGTGTAGTAATGCATAAAAGACAAACAAACAAACAAACAAACATACATTGCTTTTTATATATAGATGAGATGTATGTATGAAGGCCTATATTTCTTTCAGTGTATGTATCACTGGGCATTATCAAGACCATGCCTTAAAGCATATAACGAAATTTTCCTAAATAAAAACTACTTACCTAATACTTTATTCTTCGTTGAATGGGGTATTCAAATAAAACATTTACTTTATCAATCATAATATATTTAATTATTAGTGTTCGTGTAATTTTAAGAGATCGTTTAATTTCAACAATTCCCTATATACTTGAAAACAAAATCTGGTTTCAAATATGGCGTCAAGGGCAGCTATTAAGCCCTGTCACCTTCAATTGGTACATAACATAATGTTTGTGCTTGAAGTCACCTGCCTTTGGTTGGGGTATTCCCATTGATACAAATTTTAAAATACCCGTTATGTTTTATATTTTAGTTGGCTGTATATTAAAGTATCTAGCACCGATTTTATGTTTTAAGTGGTAAACGTTTTAAGTTCAGAAATGCAGTAATATATTATTGGAATAAAAACTTAGGTTTTTTAATAATTAAGTATTATATATTAAATGTTATTAAATATCATAATACCCCTTTCTGAAAAATCTATAAGGATGGTGACTCAATATTTTAAACGTGATACTGCTTTTACCTAATCAATATATTGATTTTATTAAACGGGCGGTAGGCTGAACTAAATATATTCGACAACACACCATTTACAAATATTCAAACTCTCCAATGAAGATTTTTTTAAAAAACTTCAAGGATTAAGAGCTTTAAGCTTCAAAACAGGAACGTAGCTCTTGCGAATTATGAATAGCAAAGTAAACAATAATATCTGTGTATGTGTGTTCTGATTTTTTAAAATTTTCTCTTAAACGGAGTATAGAGAATGCAAAAAATCGAAAACGATATCTTCATTGATCACGACGTTTTTTTTACCTCCCTGAGTCGAAAAAACAAAGTTTTTGCAATTCTGTCCGCATGTCTGTGTGTGAGTGTATGCGTATGTGTGTGTGTGCCTCTGTTGATGTATGTCTTTGTGTCTGTTAACGCGATAAATAGAGTACCGGTACAACTAGGTTGTTGAGATTTCATATACAAGTATTACATAAAGTTTGTGAATATGTTTCGACTTTCCAGCGATTTGCGTTAACTGGAAGTAAAAGTTTTTCTACTTTTGTTTTTTCAAAAGCCAAAAATTTGAGTACTGTTTCAGAGAGATAAACGAAATTTCAATTTTCATTAACAGATCTAATTTTTTGCTGTTTTTCAAATGTTGAATTATTCCCATTTACCGAAAGTAATACTTAACGCTTTTCCGATTTCTCAAAAAACGCAGTTGAATTTAAGGTACTAGTATTCTAGTGATCTTCCCTAAACTTTCTCGAATATTCTTATATAAAACAACAGGGGATGGCAACTCGGGATATAGACATGATTTTTAATCCATTTTTAATTACTTAAACTTTTTAAAATAGAATAGAATCTCGTGCAATAAAGAAATGCACATTAAGTGAATGCGGAATTTTATTAGTAGTTTATAAATTCACATGCGTTGTTGGAGAAATCGGAAATAGCGAAAATTACTACTTTCGTTCAACGTAAAACACTCAACTTTCGACAGAAGGCAGATAATTACATCGTTTGCTTATTTATGAAATTTCATTTATCTATCTGACATAGTACTCAAGTTATAGGTTTTTGAAAAATTTAAAGTAGAAAAAGTTCCACTTGTGGTTATCGGAAATCGGCCAAAAATTGATACGTATCTACTATTTTGATAAAATACTTATGTATGAAATTTCATCAACCTAGCTGTAACGGTACTCAAGTCATCGTGTTTACAGTCATACAGAGTCACACACACACACACACATACACACAGATATACGGACAAGATTGCAAAACTATGTTATTTTCGACTTAGGGAGGTGTAAAACGTGCACAAATCTCATTTTTTTTTTTTACTTTCTCGATTACAAAGTATAGAGAAAGTATTGTAATCGTGCAAAAAAAAAATCGGTTTATTTCAAAACAAAAAGAGATCATTCAATATAAAATGGTTTAAAGATGGTCATTTGTTAACGATTTATGGTGAATCGCCTCAATGTTGACTTAAACATTCGCTCTTTGCAAAGTAAACGTAATATAAAAATAAAATCGACCAACTCGTTTAGAACTAAGATTCGATAATCAATACAAACCATAAAGGGAATTATAAAAATAGCCCACACAAGCTCAGGTGGTAGCACTCAAAATGTATTTTAACAAACGTACCTATACTATAAAAGTAATATGAATTAATCATTCTGT